AAGGCCAAAAGTGTTGCACAGTGTAGCTGTCTCTTCTTCTCTCCCTAGAGCTGAACAGTTACTGGCAGATTGCCTCTGTATTTTTATTAGTAAAATTTTCATTTGAATTTTTCTTTTAAATTAGCAGTAGGCTTTAGAAGGTACCTTTGTTACCTTTCTTCAGACCAATTCTCCTAGACTCACCAGTCTACTTCTGAACTTTTTTTTTTTTAATTTGAAAGAGCAAAAGTGAGGGAGAGAGAAAGAAAGAGAGAGAGACTGACTTTTCATTCCCTGATTCTTTCCCCAAAGGGCCACAATAGTTACAGTTTGACCAGACCAGAGCCAGGAGCTTCTGGGTCTACTATGTGGGTGAAGGGGCCTAAGCATTTGGGCCATCTTCTGCTGCTTTCCCAGGCACATGAGCAGGGAGCTGGATTGGAAGTAGAGCAGCCAAGACTTGAACCAGCACCCAAATGGGATAATTATGGAGTTGCAAGGGGTGGTTTAGTCTACTGTACCACAGTGCTCCTCCAGGTCTCCCTCACGGGTGCAGGGTCCCAAGGATTTGGGCCGTTCTCAACTGCTGTCCCAGGCCACAAGCAGGGAGCTGGATGGGAAGCAGGGCCGCCGGGATTAGAACTGGCGACTTATGGGATCCCGGCACGCAAAGCGAGGACCTTAACCACTGCGCCACCATGCCAGGCCCTCACATTCCTTTTCAAGAAACATTGAAAAATTTTTTATTTGTGAGAAATTGGTAATACTCGGTGCAATGGTTACCAGTCCTGTTCAATCAGACTTAGTCTGATTTTTTAACAGATTTAGTTTTCTACCAGTTATTAATAGGAAGAATTTCTGACATCAGGATTTTTAGAATGTAGATTATGTCAAGCCAGGCATGTCTGAAGAATTCGTAGGATCTGTGTGAGGTGTTGAGTGTTTCAGGAGGTACACATCTTGTGCCCGTGGATGAACTGATTCCCATGTTAATGCTAAGTAGGTCAGTAGGAGGGGTGAAGGAAATTTCTCATCATGCTTCGCAGCTGAACTTTTAGCTTTTATTAAAAGGATGTTACACTGCTGTAAGTGCCAAAGCAATCAAGTGGAAATGAATAGCCCCTAGAAGTTGAATAGCCTGATGACACCGCCTTCCCTGCCCAGTTTTGTGAGGATGAGGGTGGGGCAGTTACTGGCTGTTGGGTGTGGGGAGCGCTCAGACACTTCCAGGCAGCCTCTTCCTTAGCTGCAGCTGTTACCCCTGCATCCAGAGGTGTCTGGTACCACCAATTCCCCAACCTCTTGGGGACTTCCCACAAAGATGAATTATGACTTGATTCTCTGGCTTGCATCTGAAAAGGCATTTAATTCCACTGTTTTCTAGCTTTAAGCACTTTGTGTTTAAGTGTTCCCTCTTGTTCTCCCTGAGTTTGTAGGATAATTTTTAAAGATGTATTTATTTTTAATGGAAAGACATATATAAAGAGAAAAAGATCTTTCATGAAGAGAAAGATATTTTGTTCACTGATTCATTCCCCAAGTGGCCACTACGGGCCAAGTTGAGCCTGTCCAAAGCTAGGAGCCAGGAGCTTTTTCCGGGTCTCCCACATGGGCACAGAGTCCCAAGCTTTTAGGCTGTCTTCTACTGCTTTCCCAGGCCACAAGCAGCAATGGCAAGTGGAGCAACCAGGACATGAACCAGAGCTCATATGAGATTCCCAGTGCATGTAAAGTGAGTACTGTAACTACTAGGCTACGATGCTGGGCCCTGGCATTATGGTTTTGAAAAATCCTTTTTAAATTTAGTGATGACTTTGTACAACACAGAAGCACAGTCCACAAAGAAGAAATTGATAAGTTGAGCTTTGTCCAAATTTAAAACTTCTGCTCTGCAAAAAGAACCATTAAAAGAATAAAAAGGCGGGGCAGGCATGGTGGTATAGCATGCCAATCTTTCATCTCATTGCCAGCACCCCATATAGGTGGCAGTTTGTGTCCTAGCTGCTCCACTTCTTTTTTTTTTTTTTTTTTTTTTAAGATTTATTTTTATTACAAAGTCAGATATACAAAGAGGAGGAGAGACAGAGAGGAAGATCTTCCATCCAATGATTCACTCCCCAAGTGAGTGCAGCGGCTGGTGCTGTGCCGATCCACAGCCAGGAGCCAGCAACCTCCTCCAGGTCTCCCATGTAGGTGCAGGATCCCAAAGCATTGGGCCGTCCTCCACTGCTTTCCCAGGCCACAAGCAGGGAGCTGGATGGGAAGTGGGGCCACCGGGATTAGAACCAGCGCCCATGGGCCCGGCGCGGTGGTGCAAGTGGTTAAAGGTCCTCGCCTTGCACGCCCGGGATTCCATATGGGCGCCGGTTCTAATCCCGGCAGCCCCGCTTCCCTTCCAGCTCCCTGCCTGTGGCCTGGGAAACCAGTCGAGGACGGCCCAAAGCTTTGGGAACCTGCACCCGCGTGGGAGACCCGGAAGAGGCTCCTGGCTTTGGACCGGCATAGTATCGGCCCGTTGCGCTCACTTGGGGAGTGAATCATCGGACGGAAGATCTTCCTCTCTGTCTCCCCTCTCTGTATATCCGCCTTTCCAATAAAAAAATAATAAAAAATAAATCTTAAAAAAAAAAAAAAAGAACCAGCGCCCATATGGGATCCTGGCACATTCAAGGTGAGGACTTTAGCCGCTATGCCACACCACCGGGCCCGCTGCTCCACTTCTGATCTAGCTCCCTGCATATGGCTTGGGAAAGTAACAGAGCAGGGCCGAAGTCCTTGGGTCCCCACACACATGGGGAGACCTAGAAGAAGCTCCTGACTCCTTACTTTGGATTAGCTCAGCCCTGGCTGTTGCAGCTATCTGGGGAGTAAAACAAACAATGGAAGGTTTGCCTGCCTCTCTCCCTAAATCTAATAAAAATAAATAAATCTTTTTTTCTTGAAAAAAGGAAGAAAAGAAAAGGCAAGTCAAATAAACCTAGGTCACAGGGACCTAAGCATATGGGCCATTTTTTACTGCCTTTCCCAAGCTCATTACCAAGGAGCTAGATCAGGAACTTAACATACTGTGCCACAGAACGGGCACCAAAGTACATTAAAAAAATAAATAAATAAAAAGAATGGTTTATTTATTTGAAAAGCAGTTACCAAGAGAAAGTAAGAGAAAGTTCTTCCATTTGCTGATTTACTTCTCAAATAGTAGCAATGGCCAGGGCTGGGACAAGACAAAGCCAGGAGGCAGTGGCCATCTTACTCTGCCTTCTCAAGCAGAACCAGGAGTGCAGTGGCTGGAACTCTACAACTTGTGGCCAGCCTGGAAGAATATTTTAAAGACCGCAACTTCATCATAGCCATCCTAGTTCTTTATAGTATTTTGTAGTCTGCAACTGTTTCATTAAATGTGTATTTTTTTACTTCCCCCATGAGATTATAGACTCAATGAGCATCTAGACTGGCACTTATTGTGGTTCTTTAAATTTAATTTTATTTATTTGAAAGTCAATATTACAGAGAGACAGAGATCTTCCATCCACTAGTTAACTTTCCAAATGGCTGCAATATGCAAGTGGACGAGACCAAAGTCCTGGCACTCCATCCAGATCTCTGGCACGCCTGCAGGGACCCAAGTATTTGGGTCATTTCCTCCATGTTTTCCAGGCACATTAGTAGGAAGTGTGGTCAGTAGCAGAGCAGAGCTAGTCTCAAACCAGCCCACTCAGGGCTGACCAATATTAGAATTAGAATGGATATTTGCCAAACTGACAACTTAAAAATAGTGTTAGCAGTGTTAGTGTACATGTAAAATTCTTTTTTCAGGTGACACAGATTATGACAATACTTGAATACAACAAAAACTGTCCTTAAGGAAGTAGACATTTCTTGAATCTGTACATATGGAATACATAGTATCTGTTCTCTTTATATTAATTTAAAAATTTTACAAATACATTTTAGAATTTTCTTCATTGAAAAGAAAATTAAAATCTCTCCTTGGCCAGGGGCAGTTGGTCAGTTTCTAGTTGGCCTTGAGAAACACTCCCAGTAACTTCATCTTTTTCCCTTTTGAAAGATACCTGTGGGTCCAGGGTGATGGCTCGATTGGTTAATTGGTCTCTTGCAAGTGCCAGGATCCTGTGTGGGTGCTGGTCTAGGTCCTGGCTGCTGTGCCTTCCATCTGGCTTCTTACGGTCCAGGAAAGCAGTGAGGGATGGTCCAAAGCCTTGGGACCATGCACCCATGTAGGAGACCTAGAAGAAGCTCCTGGCTCCTGGCTTTGGATCTGCCCAATTCCGACCATTGGGCCACTTAGGGAGTGAACCAAGAAGATCTTTCTTATCTCTCCTTCTCTTTATGAATCTGCCTTTCCAGTAAAAAGAAAGAAGTCTGTAAAAAAAATTATGTCTGTGTATGTGTGTAGAGAGAGAGAGAAATTGCTCTCAGTTGAACATTAAGGAAACATAGTGTTGAAAATCTCTTAACTTTTTCTCTCCCATTAGTCCCTAGATGATTTAAACATCATATTACCATGTGCAAAAACACGTGATATCTTCCCTTTTCTTTATTTCACAGTGTTGAATTTCAGTTTGTTTATCTGGGCAGTAGTTTTAGTGTGTTTGTTTTAAACCCGACAATACCTTATACCAGAAGTCCAAACTACTAAAAAGAAAACAAACGTACCAGTTCTTTAGAACGTGCCTATACGTTTCAGCAAGCATGTCCTCCAGTTCTTTGACAAGGAAATTGAAATAAAATGAAGAGTTCAGTAGACAGTGCAATCGTTCCTGCATCTTGGGCATTGCACTCACGCCCTGAAACAACCAATCCAGCAGTTAGCCTTTCTGACAACTCTGTTTCCACATGTGGTTTTCTCAGGAAGCTAAACTTAGGAAATTTAGGAGAAAGAGCTTCTATTTGAAGGACACAAATCTAAAATCAGTTTTGCCTTTCCTGTGTTAAGCCCTGGAAAATTTGATGACTTCTCACCTAGCTCACTTTTTTTATTTTTCTCTTTCTCCACACAGATTGATAGAGCTCCATTCTCCTGATAGCAGGAACACGTTGATCCTACGCTGCAAAGACACAGCCACAGCACACTCCTGGTTCGTAGCTATCCACACCAACATAATGGCTCTCCTCCCACAGGTGTTGGCTGAACTCAATACCATGCTTGGTGCCACCAGTACCACAGGAGGCAGCCAGGAGGTCAAGCACATTGCCTGGCTGGCAGAGCAGGTAGGCTGGGAAGTAGAGCAGGGTGTCCTGTGGTTCCATTCACAGACAGCGCCAGGTTCCACTTTATGCATCTGTAATGCTCATGGATGTCTGGTTATAGATCTTTTGTCTGTTAGTCTTGTTTTCCCTCCCTTTTTGTTTTCTCCCCTTACCTTTTAACTGTTGTTGATTATCACCTCTACCAGAAGAATTGGCTAGCATGGTAAAAAGATTCTTATTACCACTGCTTTCCTTAATGGCAGAGGACAGATCATTTCCATAGTTTTAGACAAAGGTTAGCAAATGTTTTCTTTCTTTTTTTTTTTTAAGATTTATTTATTTTTATTCGAAAGTCAGCTATACAGAGAGGAGGAGAGACAGAGAGGAAGATCTTCCATCTGTTGATTCACTCCCCAAATGGCCTCAACAGCCAGAGCTGAGCTGATCCGAAGCTAGGAGCCCCGGAGCCTCTTCTGGGTCTCCCACGTGAGTGTAGGTTTTCAAGGCTTTAGGCTGTCCTCCATTGCTTTCCCAGGCCACAAACAGGGAGCTGGATGGGAAGCAGGGCTGCCAGAATTAGAACCTGCGACCATATGGGATCCCAGCACGTACAAGTTGAGGACTTTAGCCACTAGACCACCATACTGGGCCCCAGCAAACGTTTTCTGTAAAGTGCCAGATAGCATTCACAGCTACTTGACTGCCATTGTAATGAGAAAACAATCAGGCAAACATGAAAATAAATGGGTGTGGCTGTGTTTCAGTAAAGCACTTTTATAAAAACAGCTGGCTGGATTTGACCCAGAAGGGATAAATTCTCAACCCTGCTTCTAGTCTGTTGGCAGGATTTCCCAAGGCAGCAGGCTCTTAGTTTAGTTCTGCTCTTGGGAAAGTTTAAGAAATGAGAAATATCTAATAAACCATTAGGCAAAGGAACAGTTGTCTTTCATACTGAAAAATGCTAAGAGAAACAAGAAAAGGCATGATAAAACTCCAGCCAAATTACTTGGGATCCTCAGTTTGACAAGAGGAGAATGAAGATTTTAAGAGACATTATGCTATGTCTTTTTTTGGGGGGGAATTCTTCACTGTCAGCTGGATCGGAGAGAGTTGCGGGAATGAAGGTGGGGTGAGTGTTGATGGCTCTGTGTATAAGTCACCACTTGGAATACTAATGTCTCATATCCATGTGCCTCCGCTCTGCTTGCAGTCCAACATCCTGCTAGTGCACCCTCTGGGAGCCAGCAGATGATGACGGCTCAAGTACTCGGGTCCTTTCCACCCACACGGGAGAACTGGGCAGGTGTCTGTGTTCCTGGCTGTTGCATTTGTGGAGTGGACCAATAGATGGAAGATCTATCATCTCTCTGGCTCTTCCAGATACAATGAACATTAGCGATTTTTTCAAAAGAAGTCTGTATTAGGGGGTGGAGACAAAGTATTCAAGTGGTAGCTCTGTCTTTTCCATGAATCTAGATCTCTTAAAAATCTCCTTCATCTCTGAGACTCTTCTAGCTCCACCATACATGTGGGTAGAGGGCAGAGAGTAGAGTACATCATTAACTGCAAAATAACATCACAGATCAGCCCAGGAGGTCACTGTTGCTTTATATTTGCTTTGTTATGAAGTTTCCCAGGTCTGTTTACAGATTTGATGGATTTGTGGCCAGGACAAATGATCTTGTTTGGTAATTTCCCCCAAACTATGAAGCTAATACTGTATGCTAGTGATCTTTCTCATTTTCAATCTCTGAAATTTTATGATCATTTTAAGCAAATTAATTTTAAAAACTGTAAAGTTAGAACAAATTAGAACAGAAAATCATAGTGATAATTTCTGTGAAGCGTAATTATCATAAGAAACTAATAAAGTCGTAGTGCAAGTACTTATGACATTGAAGCTTTCAAGTTGTGCTTGTTTTACTCATTATCTCAACATTATTTTCTGTGCCAGTTAAAAGCTGAATGGAGTGGTCATTTTTCTATGCTTTCTGCTGTGTTGGAAGTCTCATGATTTCAACAATGTAGTGTATTCACGTGGTTAAAAAAGTCAGACAATGAGAAGTTCACTGGGTAAAGGGTCATGTAGTTCCTGTCCTGCATCTTCCTGCTTAGTCTTCACTTTTCCTGGTAAAATCACTTTCATTCCTGCCTGATAAAATTTTTTTGATTTCTTCATGAAAATAAAACTTGAGACTGTATTATTCTTTCCATGTTTTATAAAAGGAGAAAGCGTGTTATGTATAGGACTTTATGCTTTTTAACTTCAGAGCATTCCATTGTGTTTGTAGTTGAATGATCACTTTGCCAGCTTCATTGTTACATTTTCCTGTTTTAATGATGCTACATTGGGCAACCTGGTACTTTGTCCTTTCACACATGAACTATCCAAACTCTTTTCTTCTCAAGTTCAGATAGATCAGTTTACCAGGGAAGCCACATTATCTAGAAATATTTAGTTCCCAAGTTCCTAATAGTGAGTAGTGAATTATTGGTCGGTAATGGGTGGGTCCAAAAGTTTATATCAGTTTCTAAGTTTGTATAGTTAGTGTTTAGAGAATGGTGGATATTTCTGTATCTGTAGTATAAAGCCTCAGGAGTGCTGGGTCAGATACTATTTACCTATTACCTGATCATGAATTAACCCTAAGACTTGGAGGCTTAGGGTTAAAATATCCAATACTGGGGCCCAGCACTGTGACCTAGCGGCTAAAGTCCTCGCCTTGAACATGCTGGAGTCCCATATGGGCACTGGTTCTAATCCTGGCCGCCCTGTTTCCCATCCAGCTCCCTGCTTGTGGCCTAGGAAAGCAGTTGAGGACAGTGCAAAGGCTTGGGACTCTGCACTCGTGTGGGAGACCCAGAAGAAGTTCCTGGCTCCTGGCTTTGGATCGGCTTAGCTCTGGCCATTGCGGTCACTTGGGGAATTAATCATCAGATGGAAGATATTCCTCTCTCTCTCTTTCCTCTTCTCTATATATCTGACTTTAAAATAAAAATAAGTACATCTTTTAAAACATACGTATCAAACACTGGACCCAGTGCAATGGTTTGCAAGTGCCAGGATCCCATTTGGGTGCAGGTTCGTGTCCTAGCTGCTCCAGGTCCCACCCAGCTTCCTGCTTATGGGCAGGAAAAGCAGCAAAGGATGGTCCAAATCCTGGGGACCCCCACCCATGTGAGAAACCTGTAGGACACTCCTGGCTCCTGATTTCAGATTAGCTTTGCTCTGGAGTTTGTGGCCATTAGGAGAGTGAAGGCCATTAGATGGAAGATTCTCTCCCTCTCTCCCTCCCTTCTTCCCTCCCTTCCTGCCTCCTCTACAGGTGGTGAATATACTTGGAAGTTAATTCATTCACTTGTGTTAGCAGACAAGCTCAGTTCCCTGGCGTACAGGCTGTTCTGTAGCAGTTTCTGAGTGTCCTTATGTCGTAACACTCTGGTTTTCACCAGAGTAAGTGATGTGAGGGAGAGAAAAAAGATGGAAGCCGCAGGGCCACCTGTGATCCAGTCTCAGGAATCACACAGTTGCTTTTGTTTTCCTCTCATCAGAAGTGAGTCAGCCCACAGCTATTCACTTTTAATTTCTTGCTTTTTAATTTAATAGAATACCATCCATCTATTTTTGCTTTCATTTTGTATACTTTAGAGTTCTGGTTATAGTCTTAAAGGGATTTTTCTTTGAGTTTATAAGTGCAGCAAATATTACCCATAATATTACCCCCAAAATATTCATGAACATTTTGGCATTGATGAGAAAAGCCAAAATTGCCAAAGAAAAAAAAAATTTTTTTTAAGATTTGTTTTATTTTTACTGGAAAGGCAGATTCACAAAGAGGAAAGACAAAGAAAAAGATCTTGCATCCACTGGTTCACTCTCCAAGTAGCCCCAATACTGGAGCTGAGCCGATCTGGCGCCAGGAGCTTCTTCCACATCTCCAGTGTGGATACAGGTTCCCAAGGCTGTGAGCCATTCTGAACTGCTTTGCCAAGCCATAAGCAGGGGGCTGAATGAGGAGGGGGCATCTAGGATACGAACCAGCACCCATATAGGATCTTAGTGTATGCAAGGAACTGATTTACACACTGAGCCATCCTACACTGGGCACCAAGGAAAAACTTTAGTAGTTCTTTCTTTGTTCCTGGTAATTCCCAAATTGCATATAAAGACACAAGCTGGGAAAATGTGTGTGTGTGTGTGTGTGTGTGTGTGTGTGTGTGTGTGTGTGTGTGTGTGTGTGTAGATATATAGTACATATACAAAATCTAGATTAGCAGAATGATTACTTATGGTTTTGATCTCTGTTTTCTGTTGTGATAATGAAATCAATAAAGAAGACATGTCACCTGTCGCAAAGGGAGCTCGAGCTGAGGGATTTGGACAATGAATAATAACTGTAGTTTTTCATCTTTAGTGCTGTCCAAGTCTGTTAATTAAGAATTTGGAGTTGGCTGTAACTTGGCAAGGTATATGTATGAGTGGGTAATTAAGCACGAGCAAACTAAAACCCTAATGTTAGTACCCCTTTTTCTCCAGCCAAAAACTCTGTAATGCAACCCCAACCAAACGCATATACTATATATAGTAGGTAGCATTTTGACTCCAGTGAAAGGAAACGGTGTCCTTCAAAGTTAAGGCAAGTAGGTAAACAGAGTGATTAAAACTGAGGTTTCGTTTCTTTCCACTGGTAAGCAGAAGAGAAAGATGTTCTGTAAAAACTAAGCTTAAAAAAGCTAAAGTATCTTCCTCTCTGTCTCTCCTCTCTGTATATCCGCCTTTCCAATACAAAAATAATAATAAAAATAAATCTTGAAAAAATATATATATAATGGGCCCAGCGCGGTGGTGCAGTGGTTAAGGTCCTCTCCTTGCACGCCCTGGATCCCATATGGGCGCCGGTTCTAATCCCAGCAGCCCCGCTTTCCATCCTGCTCCCTGCCTGTGGCCTGGGAAAGCAGTCGAGGACGGCCCAAAGCTTTGGGACCCTGCACCCGCGTGGGAGACCCGGAAGAGGCTCCTGGCTTTGGATCGGCATAGTATCGGCCCGTTGCGCTCACTTGGGGAGTGAATCATCGGATGGAAGATCTTCCTCTCTGTCTCTCCTCTCTGTATATCCGCCTTTCCAATTAAAAAAATAATATTAAAAATAAATCTTTTAAAAAAAAAGCTAAAGTAAGTGCTTTTTTAAAATATTGTTAAATGCTTGCTCACTTTCTCTCTCAATTGAATATTGCTTCCATTACAATAACATTCTTTCTAGAGAGCACAAAAAACTTCTTAGGAATAAAATAGTGGATCACTTCAAAAAGTTCATGGAAAGCATAACATTCTCCATGAATCTTTAAGACACCCTTGAACATTTAATTCAGGTTTACCAAATGCATATACTCTATCTCGCCTTGAAGAATCTCTTGCAACTCAAGAAAAAAAACATTAAAAAAATGTGATGATCATTTTTATCTTTTCAAAAGAAAGATTTTCCATTATTTTCTTTCTTTTTTTTTAAGATGTATTCATTTTTATTACAAAGTCAGATATACAGAGAGGAGGAGAGACAGAGAGGAAGATCTTCCATCCGATGATTCACTTCCCAAGTGAGCACAACGGCCGATACTATGCCGATCCAAAGCCAGGAGCCTCTTCCGGGTCTCCCACGCGGGTGCAGGGTCCCAAAGCTTTGGGCCGTCCTCGACTGCTTTCACAGGCCACAAGCAGGGAGCTGGATGGGAAGCGGGGCTGCTGGGATTAGAACCGGTGCCCATATGGGATCCCGGTGCATTCAAGGTGAGGACTTTAGCCGCTAGGCCACGCCGCCGGACCCCCATTATTTTCTTTATTGAAAGACTGTCCATAACCATGTTAGAGACAAAGACTTGCTATGGAAATAAGTAAGAAATCCCTTCAGAGTATCAGTGATCTAAAAATGCAAGATCCTGTGAGAGCATCTCTAGAGCTGCTCTTCTGCCAGATGTTGTAGTTTCCCATAGGATAAGTAATCTTAGAAAGCTAGTGTCTACTACCAAGAAAAGCATAATTATTTGTGTAATATTTGGCTTGAATTTCAGTCAGGTCATATTTTTTGCTGTTTTCAGCATTTGGTAGAAAATCAGTGGTGTCACAGACCAGATTTCATCTCCCACTGCTGGAATTAGCTCATAGCTCTGGCTAGGAGAAGAATCTAGGGGTGGAGATTACAGCATGTAACCAACCCACTCAGACCACTTGCAAATTACAGATGGATTCTTTTTTTTTTTTTTTTTAAGATTTATTTATTTTTGTTGTAAAGTCAGATATACAGAGAGAAGGAGAGACAGAGAAGATCCTCGGTCTGCTGATTCAATCCCCCAAGTGGCCACAGTGGCTGGAGCTGAACCGATCTAAAGCCAGGAGCCAGGAGCTTCTTCCGGGTCTCCCACACGGGTGTAGGGTCCCAGGCTTAGGCTGTCCTTAACTGCTTTCTCAGGCCACAAGCAGAGAGCTGGAAGGGAAGTGGGGCTGCTGGGACACAAACCAGTGCCCATATGAGATCCTGGCATGTGCACAGCGAGGATTTTAGCAAGAACAACAATAAGAAATTTGGAAGCAATGAATTCGCCCAATTTTCCCTAAATATTGATCCTTCCCACCCTGATCAATCATGTAATCATTAAACAAAAAAAAGATAAATTTAGAAAAAATCAATCTTAAAAAAAAGAGTTTTGTATTTCAGCTTGAAATGTATCACTTTGGTTATGTGCATAAAATTATTTTTATACAGGATTAAAAATATAGGAAAACAATCACCATTTGTCCATATTATCAAGGAATCTAGAGTTTTTCTAAAACAAATGACTGTTGGGCCCGGCACCGTGGCCTAGCGGCTGAAGTCCTCACCCTGAATGCCCCAGGATCCCATATGGGCGCCGGTTCTAATCCCGGCAGCCACACTTCCCATCCAGCTCCCTGCTTGTGGTCTGGGAAATGAGTCGAGGATGGCCCGAAGCCTTGGGACCCTGCACCTGCATGGAATACCCGGAAGAAGTTCCTGGATCCTGGCTTTGGATCGGAATAGCATCGACCGTTGAGGTCACTTGGGGAGTAAGTCATCGGACAGAGGATCTTCCTCTCTGTCTCTCCTCTTCTCTGTATATCTGACTTTCCAATAAAAATAAATAAATCTTAAAAAAAAATTTTTTTCTATTCTACTAGTAAGAGTAGTAGTAAGGATTTCTGTCATTACTGTAAGTTATTTCTCACACATCAGACGTGCTGAAACTGTTAGCATTATTGAACACATCACTCTATATTTCATTAGCATTAGTGGTGTACAGTTAGGAGTTGGGGTGGGGCACGTCCTGTCACTGGATCGTATGTGTAACTCAGCAGTGAAGGGCACAAGCAACCTCACGGCTCCCAGTGTAGAACCTCTTCCAGTGGGAAGGAACCTCGGGGGATGTTTTCCATATCTCATGTCTGTTAGGATGTGCAAACAAAATGGAGGCCCACTGAGTCAGGATGTTACTGAAGAAGCCTTTAGAAAGTCGTACCATTGTAAGTGGCTCTAATGGCTGGATTTCACATTTATGACAGGCAAAACTAGATGGTGGAAGACAACAGTGGAGACCCATCCTCATGGCCGTGACTGAGAAAGACTTACTGCTTTATGACTGCATGCCATGGACAAGAGATGCCTGGGCATCCCCATGTCATAGCTACCCTCTTGTTGCAACGAGGTAAGACTAAAGACCAAAGACATGCAATGATTGCCTTCTTCTAAAGCCACCAAAGAATTTTCAAGTGAGTTCCATTATCTTAGGTGCCTAAGAAAGAAATCTAAGTTTCTCATGTCGTTGATGAGGACAGCAGCTTTTGTTCACAAGTTTATGGGTTATTTAGCAGTTCGTAGCTCCAGAGGAAGTTATTTGTATCACTAGTATTCTTTGGATGTGCATTTAAGTTGTTGACAAGACTTTCCAACTGCTCTGTTCAAGACTTGGTTGGTCATGGAGGTAATAGTTGCTGCTGCTGCTGTTGTTTGTTTGCTTGTTTGTTTTGCTTTATTGACTATGACTAGGAAAACCGCTGAAATGGTATCATCTTTCTTGAGTGATGAAATCATTTAAAACCAAAATGTGGATATGTGGATAAACCACACAACTCAGCAAAGTACTCTTCAGCCTCTCTTTCCAATGTAAGAACATGTCATTTTTATTTCATCAGATACAGGTTGATAATGACCTGAAACAGGAAGATGTTTTCCCACATGCCGGATGTGGGGAGTTGGCAGGAAAAGGGATGGAGAAATGTACATTTAAGTGGTCAGGATGTCTCAAAGGATAGCAACTGTGAAACTAGAAAATAGATCCAAATTCAGATTTTTTTAACCTTCAAAAAGAATAAGATGTTTTTGTCACTCAAAAATCACATTGAAAAGGAGCCCCATAGAAAAGTATTTCGTAGTTAACAGAACTATCTGATAAATCTGCCAGGAAACAGTGTGAAGGCTTCCTGCTCTGAGCTGGTGTTTGTGTGAGGGAAAGTGCAAATATTCTTTGCAATTCAGCAAGACTTTGACTTTATGTAAGATTTCCTCCAATTTTACTATTTTTTCCTTCATGTGTAATTCTTTTTATAAAAATATAATCTTCCTGTAGCTTTCCAGGAAGATTTCTAATTTGAAGCTGAAGCCCTTAAGTCTCAAGAGAGGATATAAAGGAAATTTTGAGCTATAGCACTGATGGGGGGTGGGAGGGAATCTCCCCATTAATTCCTTCAGGATGGAAGAGTCTTCTAGGAAGACTGAGTTTAACAGTCAGTTTATCTGGTTTTGTTTTGTCGTTTTTTTTATCACTGCCAAGTTGTAACTGCTCTGGAAATCAGGAGCTATGACTTAGTAATCTCAACATTTCCCATTGTGTCTTACGTGCTACAGGCCCTAAATAAATCGTAAAATCTTTTTTTTTTTTTTTTTGTGGAGTTTGGAGATGGGCTGGCACAAGGCTTAAGTGGCTAATCCTCCACTTCCAAGCACCAGCATCCAATATGGATGCTGATTCATGTCCCAGCTGCTCCACTTCCCGTCCAGCTCCCTGCTTGTGGCCTGGCAAAGACCCCAAAGAAGCTCTTGGCTCCTGACTTTGGATCAGCTCAGCTCTGGCCATTGCAGCCACTTGAGGAGTGAACCAGCAAATGGTAGATCTTTTTATCCGTATCTCCTCTCTGTAAATCTGCCTTTCCAATAAAAATAAGTCTTTTTTGTTTTATTCTTTAAAGTTATGGTACAATTCAATTCTGTAGGCTCTGAGATTTCCAGTGCTCCTCCCAGAAGCCTAACTGCATCAGTACCTGGGGATGGGGACAGTCATTCAGTGTCATTTTAGGTTCCCAGATACAGAGCATGTTCCATGGGTACTGCTTAAGTGGTTTCGAAATTCTGAGACACTGTTGATTTTGGTGCTCCAAAGTTGAGGAAATCCTTCCAAGGTCAATTGGCTCACATAGTCTACCTTAGAGTCTCCACTCGCCCATATACTTGCTGTCCATGTTTGGCTGGGAGAATTGTACAATTAGTTCTCCCCTCCATCCTCTGCCATGGTACTAGATTTCCCCTGCAAGCTTCAGAGAGCTGTCATGCCCCCTACGTGTATCTCCCATGCGGGCACAGGATTCTAAGGCTTTGAGTTGTCCTCAAGTGCTTTCCCAGGCCACAAACAGGGAGTTGTATGGGAAGTGGAGCCACTGAGATATGACCCAGTGCCCATATGGGAAACTGGTGTGTGCAAGGCAAGGACTTTAGCCACTAGGTAAGAGCGAGACAGAAGAATAGAAAAGACATAAAGACATAGGTTAGAAAAAGAAACTAAAGACCTTGAGTCTCTACAGACATAGATAACCTCTGATAAATGCAGTCCCAATCATAGCAGAATCAGATCTCATTAGCATATAAATTAGTGCCAGATACTTTGTATGTTGGGTTGCACATATACAGGTTCTTAGAAACTCTGTGTGTGTGTGTGTGTGTGTGTGTGTGTGTGTGTGTGTGTGTGTGTGTGAATAGCTGCTGTTTCAGTTCCAGGAGGAATTAGGTAAAACATTCAAAAGTGAGACATGAAGATGAGGTTTTTTTTACACATTTTTAAGATTAGAGGCAGATATAAAACACGAGTAGAAAGACCCATTGATTTCATAATTGCTGTAGATTTTGCAGAATGTCGATTTTCTAGTCTTTCCATAACAGCTTTCTTTGGAAGCCAGAAGGGGCTCCAAAAAAGCTTGGCGACTTTATAATGTGGAGAATTGAGTGGCGTTGGGTTTATGTGGCTTAAAGGGGATGAAGCTGTGAGACTGCCCTGTGCATGAGCTCATCTGGTCTCCCTATGAAAGGGGAGTCTTTGGCAGTGTGTCCTGGACCGGCAGCCACTCAGCAAACCTCCAGCAGCTGGTTTGAATTAAATGTCCTCTGCCAAATATTTCATAATCAAATCTGTTGGAAAAAATTGTCCTACAATATAAAAGTGCCCGTTACTTTTATATTTTGTAGTGTCTGACTTGGGATTAGCAACCAAGCTGAATATGGTAGAGTACTCCTGCTGCTTTCCCGAACGCTGTATCTTACTTGGATCATAATGGGGGTTCCTTTTGTTCTGTGTCCTTTTCAGCACTTGATATTGCTCAGGGTTTTTATTTTAGCCTTAGTAGTAGGTGTGTTATCCTACTCTGTGTGTGTGTTAAGATTGATTTACTCAGGATCAGTGAGATAGCCTAACTGGCTAATCCTCTGCCATGCAGCATCCCATATAAGTGCCAGTTTGTGTCCCAGATGTTCCACTTCTGATCCAGCTCCTTACTTATGGCCTGAAAAAGCAGTGGACATTGGCACAAGTGTTTGGGAACCTGTCCCAAGAGGCTGCTGGCTTCTGGCTTTGGATCTGCTCAGCTCCAACCATTGTAGCCATTTGGAGTAAACCAGCAGATGAAAGATCATTGTTTCTTCTCTATGTAAATCTGCTTTTCCAATAAAAATAATTAATCTGTAAGATTGATTTATTCATTTGAAAAGCCAAACTTAGAAAAAGAGAGAGAAAAAAAATTTTTCCATTCACTGTTTTGATCTCTCTGCCTTTCAAATAAAATGAAAATAAACTTATTACTATTTTAAAAATATGTTGATTTGCTTATTTTAATTTGATAGGCAGAGTTAAAGAGAGAGGAAGAGATGAAGAGATCTCCCAACCTGTGGTCCACTCCTCTAATGGCCAAAGCTGGGTTGGTCCCAAGCTGGAGCCTGGAGCTTCTTCCATGTCCCCCACATGGGTGCAAGGACCCAAGCACTTGGGCCATCTTCCGCTGCTTTACCAGGCACATTAGCAGGGAGCTGGCTGTCCTGCCACTATCATCTTGCCAGCAGGAAGAGTTTGGGCAGTGTTCGGTGTGCGGCTGGAGCAAAGGCAGCTCCCTGTAGTGTGGCCGCTGTGGGGGGTGCCCCAGCCAGGCTGGACACAATGCTGAGGACCCAGGCCAAAGTCACTGCCAACAGGCGGGGATCAACCCTAGGATTTGGACCTCTCTGTTTCTTCTCCTCTCTATATATCTGACTTTGCAATAAAAATAAATAAATCTTTTAAAAAAAATTTTAGAAAGTTAATTTTTGTGAAAGAGAAGGTCCACGTCTGGATATATTTTTTGCATGTCTATGGGACCATTTGTTGACGACTTTCTCCTTAGTGTGAAGTCACTTCACTGTTCATATGGATCTGTTCTTTGACATAAGTCTGTTCTACTGATCAATTTGTCAGTTCTTTTGCCAATTCTACACTGTGTTGATTATAGTAGTTTTGTATAAGACTTAGAGTTGAGGGCCCGTCGCGGTGGCGCAAGTGGTTAAAGGTCCTCACCTTGCACGCCCGGGATCCCATATGGGCGCCGGTTCTAATCCCGGCAGCCCCGCTTCCCTTCCAGCTCCCTGCCTGTGGCCTGGGAAAGCAGTCGAGGACGGCCCAAAGCTTTGGGAACCTGCACCCGCGTGGGAGACCCAGAAGAGGCTCCTGGCTTCAGATCGGCATAGTATCGGCCTGTTGCGCTCACTTGGGGAGTGAATCATCGGATGGAAGATCTTCCTCTTTGTCTCTCCTCTCTGTACATCCGCCTTTCCAATAACAAAATTAAAAAAAAAAAAAAAAAAAAAAGACTTAGAGTTGAATAGTAACAGTTGAATAGTAACAACAGTAAATTTTGTTGTTTGCAATGCTGTGTTGGTTTTCTGGGTCTTGTTTTTTTTTTAAGTTTTTTTTTTTTGAAAAAGACTTTATTTTTATTGGAAAGTCAGATACACAGAATAGGAGAGACAGAGGAAGTTCAAGTAGCTGCAATGGCTGGAGCTGCACCGATCTGAAGCCAGGAGCCAGGAGCCACGATCTTCCTCCGGGTCTCCCATGTGGATGCAGGGACACAGGCAGGGAGCTGGATGGGAAGTGGGGCTGCCAGGGTTAGAACCGACGCCCATATGGGATCCCGGCACATACAAGGAGAGGACTTTAGCCACTAGGTTACCATTCCACACCTGCAAAAAAAATATATCTTTTTTTGACATACTGATTCTTCATAGATGAAGGAATTTGAAAGTCAAATGCAAATTCACTATGAATTTTTATGCTAACACTCGGGTGCGTTTGAGTTTACCTTGGATCCTCACCGGCCACAGCATCCTCCCATCACCAGAACCTCAGGTGAAAGGTTGGGAGTGCAGGGAACCGAGCACTCTTCCTCAGACACCTGCTTTTCCCCTGAAAGTATTATTTATAAATTTCTCGTTGCTTCCTTATCCATAATGGTCTCAGTGCAGTATATCTTTTTTGATGTGCATACCTTCTTGGGAATATAATAGACTCTGTGGGAAGTTGCAGTAATTTTATGGGCAAATAGAATGGTAATTCTTGCCTGGAATATGTTTATCCTGAAACCACAGATGAATTTTCAGTGTCTGCTTACGAGTGAGCGGAAGATCCTGGCGCCTTTTCCTCTGAGAATACCGCAATGACTGTGCTCCCTGTCCTGTTTGTTCCCCTAGGTTGGTTCATTCAGGCTCTGGGTTTCGATCGCCCTCACTTGGATCTGACCTGACGTTTGCCACCAGGACAGGCTCTCGGCAGGGCATCGAGATGCATCTCTTCAGGGTGGAGACCCACCGGGATCTGTCCACCTGGACCAGGACACTTGTCCAAGGCTGTCACACCGCGGCTGAGCTGATCAAGGAGGTCTCTCTAGGTAGAGATGCTGATGTTTCCCCTCTAAAACAATGAAGGGGAACTGCTATACCTTAATTTGTTTTAAAATGAACCCGTTGTCATGTGTGTCAGAGTTAAAAATGTGCTAAAATATTGCTGTTAAAATGGTGACGATGGAAAGGAATCTGGTGTGTCCGTTTCACTGGCAGTTTTCCTACGCTTGATACGTGGCTCTCTGCAAGTTTATGCCACTCTGCACAACACAGCATTTTCAGCATTTGTCATTTCATTCTACATTTAACAGTGGAAGGACTCATTTACCTTATCCTTGATGCATTGACTCTGGAGTTCAGATCTGGAATCGAAGATCATAGGATAGACATCCCTAAAACGTGTAATCTGGCAAGCTCATGGCTACAGAAAATAGAAGTTTCTTTTCAAAACTTTGGGATGTTTGCCCAACACTTAATCAAATTGAGTGTGGAAGCGCCCTCTTGTGGCTGTACTTTATAAATTTGCGGTCTTGGTGCAATGTATTTGTGTATACATGTATGTATTTTCTTTTTTTATTCAAAGATTTATTTATTCATTGGAAAGTCAGATATACAGAGAGGAGGAGAGACAGAAAAGAAGATCTTCCATCCGATGATTCACTCCCCAAGTGAGCGCAACGGCCGATGCTATGCCTATCTGAAGCCAGGAGCCAGGAACTTCTTCTGGGTATCCACATGGGTACAGGGTCCCAAGGCTTTGGGGCATCCTCGACTGCTTTCCCAGGCCACAAGCAGGGAGCTGGATGGGAAGTGGAGCTGCCAGGATTAGAACCGGCGCCCATATGGGATCCTGGCGCATTCAAGGCGAGGACTTTAGCCGCTAGGCCACGCCGCTGGGCCCACATGTATCTATTTTCACATTGCTTTTCATTTTAACAAAAACAGAATATTGACAATGAAATGTCAACTTCTTTAAGATTTACCTGTAGGCCCAGGATGGTAGCTTAGTGGCTAAAGTCCTCTCCTTGTACATGCTGTGATCCCATTATGGGCAGTGGTTCTTTGGTTTTTTGTTTTGTTTTGTTTTTGTTTTTCCGATTTATTTCTTCTTATTGGAAAGTCAGACATACAGAGCAGAGGAGAGATAAAGAAAAAGATCTACCTTCGACTGGTTCATTCCCCAAGCAGCTGCTGAGCTGATCAGAAGCCAGGAGTTTTTTCCAGGTTTCCCATTGCAGGAGCAGGGTCCCAAGGCTTTGGACCATCCTCAACTGCTTTCCCAGGCCACAAGCAGGGAGCTGGATGGGAAGTGGGGCTGCCGGGATTAGAACCGGCTTGGATCCAGCGTGATAGCCTAGCGACTAAAGTCCTTGCCTTGCATGTGCCAGGATCCCATAAGGGTGCCCGTTCTAATCCCGGCTGCTCCACTGGGATTTGCTGTCGAAGTGGGAAATCCAGATGGAGTTCCACCTTTCTGACATGGGTCTGGCGCAGCCCCTGCTGTTGGGGTCATTTGGAGTGTAAACCAGCAAACAGAAGATCACTCTACATAAATAGATAAATAAATCTTCATTTTAAAAAAAATGGTTAAGTGAACAAACATAATTCAACTCTGGTCCTTAAGTAATTTTAAGTTCAGCTATGTTACTGCGCAAGTGTAAGCATGTTAGTCAGTTAAAGCCTACTATGGGAGAACAGATCTCAGTTGTTCATTAGCCAGACTTCACCATCCTCCTGGGAGCTATCTGCCAGTAACAATCAACTGTGTCCTGTCAATTCACATATTGTCACTGAGTTTGGTCTTTGAAAGAATTGACTGCATGGCTTTTGCTGCGTAGAACTTTTACATTTCGTTAACATTCTCTTTTCTCTTTTTTCCAAATAGCAACCAAACCACATCACTGCCATTGCTGCTTTTTTGGTGGTTCCTTTTTCTTGCCAACTTGTATCCTCCCTCCTGTTCCTCCATCATATTCCTTTAGAACATTTCTACCCTGCTACCCTGGGACATTTTTGTTTTCTTCATTTTAGCCTTGTTCATTTAGCATGTAATTGTCTTCTGTGCTTTATATAGCCAAAGTCTTGTGATTATGGAGTCCTGAAGAGCAGGGAATAAGGCTTTATGACCTCCCTAGTATTACACACTTCTCACTCACCCATCCTCTCCAGCAAGAGTGGGTTCAGCCGATGGCCGACTGAGCCCACTGTCAAGCAGACTGATGCTCATGGCTCTCCCCCATGTTGTCACGATGCTGACATCACTGACAACACAGAATCCTCTTTAGGAGGTCCCACATAGCTTGGGAGATCATCTAAGAAAAACCTTTTTCCACTTTGCTAATTTTTTGTTTCTCAACAGGCTGCACGTTAAATGGCCAAGAAGTGAGATTTACTGTCCACTATGAAAACGGCTTTACCATCGCCAGGGAAAATGGTGGTGCCAGCAGCATACTGTACCGCTACCCTTTTGAGAGGCTGAAAATGTCTGCTGATGATGGCATCAGAAATCTGTATCTGGATTTTGGGGGCCCTGAAGGAGAACTGGTAAGTCTTTCTGGGACAACAGCCATGAAAAAATTCAATTATACTAGAAGACATTCTCTTCTCATCACTTCTTCCATTGTATATAGAAGAGCATGATGCAGTGTATCTTGGATCCAGGAAGTTGTTCAAGATGTCGTTGAGTTTAGGTGTTTTTAAATTCTGCTTTAGTATTTAAAACAAATATGATGACAAAGGTTTCTTTATTTTTTTAAAAGTAAGAGAGAAAATAACATTGCTCTTATACCCCTTTTTTGAGATAAGATTAAGAGTGATAGAGTGATTTGACTGCCAATAAGAAAAGAAACAAAGCTAGGTGGCCTGGCATGATGGTTCAGTGGCTAAATCATTGCCTTGCACGTGCCAGATTGGATACAGGTTCATGTCCTGGCTGCTCTACTTCCCATCCACTCCTTCCTTGTGACCTAGGAAAACAGTAGAGGACGAACCAAGTCTTGACCCTGTACCTGCATAGGAGACCCAGAAGAACTTCTTGATCCTGGCTCCTGGCTTCATATCAGCTCAGCTCCAGCCTTTACGTCCACCTGGGGAGGGAGCCAGCAGACAGAAGATCTTTGTATCTATCTCCTTCTCTCTATCTGGTTGTCCAATAAAAATAAATAAAACTTTTTTAAAGATTGAAAAAAAAAAAAGGCCTGGCACAGTGGCCTGGTGGCTAAAGTCCTCACCTTGAAAGCACCAGGATCCCAAATGGGTGCTGGTTCTTATCCTGGCAGTCCTGCTCGCTGTCCAGCTCCCTGCTTGTAGCTGGGAGGGCAGTTGGATAGCCCAAAGCCTTGGGACCTGCACCCACGTGCGAGACCTGGAAGAGGCTCTTGGCTCCTGGCTTCAGATCAACTCAGTTCCAACCGTTGTGACCACTTAGGGAGTGAATCATCGATGGAAGATCTTCCTCTCTGTAACTCCTCCTCTGTATGTATGACTTTGCAATAAAAATAAAGAGATTTTAAAAAAGGAAGAAACAAAGCTAGCTACCAGATTTTTTACCTCCTTATCCTTTAAAGAAATATCAACAGAAAATTATGGTTTGGGCCTGGCACAGTAGCCTAGTGGCTAAAGTCCTCACCTTGCATGTGCCGGGATCCCATATGGGCACAGGTTCTAATCCGTTAGCCCGCTTCGTTTCCTGCTTCCTGCTTCCTGCCTGGGAAGGCAATTGAGGATGGCACAAAGACTTGGGACCCTGAACCTGTGTGGGAGACCTGGAAGAAGCTTCTGGCTCCTGACTGCAGATCGGTGCAGCACCAGCCTTTGTGGCTTCTTGGGGAGTGAATCAGCAGATGGAAGATCTTCCTCTCATCTCTCCTCCTCTCTGTATGTCCACCTTTTCCAATAAAAATTAAAAAAAAAAATCTTTAAAAAGAAAAAAGATTTTGATCCCTGTGACAGGGACTATAGAAATCATAAAATATGGTAAAGGAGAGAAAAAATAACTTATCTCTTTAGTGTAATTTGTCAGGGATTCAAGTCTTGATCATACGTGAAATATTAGGTCCACCTGTAAAACTGCTGGAGGTACGTGTGTGTAAGTAGTGATGTAATTCATCCAAATGGGCAAAACGCGAGTACTAAGCTTACTTTGAGCGATGAACCTTTCGGAGACTTCAGTATATATAGTTAATAATAACTGGTGCTCTACCACCTACGTTTTAAATTGTTTCGTGTTTTTCTTTTCCTGGTCTCTGTCCTCAGTGCCACAGATGGGCTAACCCTCTGATGCGTGCAGCCTGGCTTGGTCTCCCCAGTCACCCAGTGGCAGCTGTCAATTTGAGGCCTGTGTGTTTAGGAACTGGTCCCCCTCCGCATCCCCAGGAGTCATCCCGCCCACCACGAACTGAATCAGTGGCTTTCAGAAGCCACTCCCGCAGATGCTCATGCTTCAGCTGCCTTCCCAAGGGAAATGCAGTAACGACTACAGTTAATGGTCTCCACATAGAGTATACTTTGTTTTGAATCCTCTGCTTTTTAAGTTTTACTTACCAAGTAAACCAATCTACCACCAACTGTCTCCTAATTGTAGATGTAAAGCCACAACCAGTGTTAAATTACGACATAAAATACTTACGCTTTTGTTGTTTTTGTTGTTGGCACATTGGTTTTTTTTATTTGTATTGTTTTAGATATTGTTATTTTTTATTTGAAAGGCAGAAAGACAGAGAAAGAGACAGAAGGATATCTTCCATCGGCTCTTCACTTCCCAGATGACTACAGAATGGCTGTATGGCCTGGGCCAGGCTGAGTCAAAGAGCCCAGACTCCCTCCGTATCTCACATATGGGTGCAAGGACACAGTTATTTAGGCCATCCTGTGCTGCTTTCCCAGACACAGTAGCAGGGAGCTGGATCTAAAGTATTGCAGCTAGAACACAAACCAGCGCTCCGGCATGGAATTCCTACATCACTGGTGGCAGTCAACCCACTGCACCACAGTGCTGGCCCTGGAAGTTGGAACATCCCATATAAACTTTTTTCTTTACCATTTATTTTATTTTTATTGCAAAGTCAGATATTCAGAGAGGAGGAGAGACGGAGAAGAAGATCTTCCATCTGATGATTCACTCCCCAAGTGACCACAGTGGCCAAGGCTGAGCTGATCAGGATCCAGGAGCTTCCTCCAGGTCTCCCACGCAGGTGCAGGGTCCCAAAGCTTTGGGCCGTCCTCAACTGCTTTCCCAGGCCACAAGCAGGGAGCTGGATGGGAAGTGGGGCTGCCGGGATTAGAACCAGCGCTCATATGGGATCCACTGCTTTTTTTTTTTTTAAGATTTATTTATTTATTGGAAAGTCAAATATACAGATAGGAGGAGAGACAGAGAGGAAGATCTTCTGTCCGATGATTCACTCCCCAAGTGAGTGCAACGGCCGATGCTATTCCGATCCGAAGCCAGGAGACTCTTCTGGGTTTCCCACGCGGGTGCAGGGTCCCAAGGCTTTGGGCCGTCCTCTACTGCTTTCCCGGGCCACAGGCAGGGAGCTGGATAAGTGGAGCTGCTGGGATTAGAACCGGCCCCCATATGGGATCCCGGCAGGTTCAAGGTGAGGACTTTAGCCACTAGGCCACCACACCAGGCCCCCGTATTAACTCGTTTATTTCACATCTCTGCTTATTAAAAGTGTCTATGTTGAGAATGCTAACTAATGTCCTTTCTTTGCAGACCATGGACCTGCACTCTTGTCCAAAGCCGATTGTATTCGTGTTGCACACCTTCTTGTCAGCCAAAGTCACCCGCATGGGACTGCTTGTATGAGCAGCAGCAAAAATCAGAAAGAAGCCTTGACTGTCAAAAAGTATTCCCACTTTAAAAGGAGAGAAAAAAAAAAAAGAAAGAGAAAAAACAAAAAGCACAAAAAGAAAGCTCTTCGCTCCCTGCTCCAGCACAGTGCCTTCCCATGGACCTGCAAATCGCTGCTGCAAGACCTACCTTGGCCACAATTCTGGGACTCTGAGGAGCTCCAGCAGGAAGCTGTTGGTTCATTGTGTTGTTTCCTAATGTGGCCTATAAGTAGTTAGGTCTGTTTCCCCTGTTGAGAAAAGGGTGGGTCCCTGTTTTTCTCTTGGGGCATGATCCAATAGCTAGGAGATGTTTTCTTCTTCTTCCTGCAGGACCTATTTTGAGTTTAGCCTTGATCCCCTGATGAGGCCAGCTCTCCCTTCCTAGGTGCTAGTGGGCGGCAGCCCCTTGCCTCTTGGTCATTCCAGACAGGTCACATGTTCTGCTGTTGGCTGTCCTCACCTGCTCCTTCCAGCAAAGTAAATTCCTGAGTTACAGTCCCCAAAGGGTTCTTCATCCGTCCCAGCTCACCACACCCATCCTAGCCATCCCTTCCCACCTCCTCACCAGCTTTGCCACTCCCAAGTGCTGACATTAGATCTCAGAATTTGCAAAATTTGATTTGCCTTTCCTTCCATCACTTTCCAAGTTGAAGAGCAAGTTGGATACTACTTGCTTTGGAAGAAGAGTTTAACTTGATTTTAAGTTTTTCTAACTTTTATCTTCGGTAGGAGTCAGGGTATCTTCCAAAAATCATTTTAAAAGAAAATCCTCATTTTAGTCTAAGCCATTTCGTATTGCCTACCAACCGTGCCTTTGGTTAGGATTTGTGGAGCTTTATTAGTCACTCTTTGAATAACTAGTTATCACTGCCAGTCCAGGGAAGATCCTCTCTCCTAGTTTGGAGAAGTAGTTTTTGAGATAGGATTCCTGACAAGCATCCTTTCAGGGAGTGGGGAAGTTGGGAGGTTGTAGAACTGATGGAGGGAGAGCTGACTTTCAGCACAGACATCCTCGTGAGCCCAGGCAGCATCCCGGCCCTGGCCTGCTGTCTTCTTGGAGCAGTAGCTTGGCACCAACAGGCAGCTGCCGATTCAGGGCCCTGGGTCAGCTTCCGCACTCAGTGAAGCATTATGTGATGTCATCACGAGAGGTAGCAGCAGTCAAATTGCTGATTCTGTGGTCCTGGACTGTCACATGCAGCTTGTTTTCCCCAATCTTGAAGACACATATCCAAAGACATTTAAAATCATATGTATCTGTACAAAATGGTCAAGGTCAGCACAGTCCCTAGACCTGAAAGGAACAATGCTGTGGAGTTGGATGTTCTCTCTGCTCTCCTAAGAAGGCTCAGGAATCATTGCAGTTGATTTGTCAGGGAAGTCATAGGAAGCTGTGAGCTCTGTTGTGGGATGAGGGCTGGCAAGATGTAGCTGGGCGTGCTGGACTCGAGCTATGTGATCGAAGTACAAACTGGACACGTGAGAGCGGGGGATGTGTCTGTTCTCTCCACCACTGCCCCCCCCCCAACTTCAAAAATCTTGTTAAAGTTCCAAAAATGAATTAACTGACTCAATTAAAAACTCAGTGTTAAAATTTAGACAAAAATGTCTTTTAGGAACTTTAATATTTATTTTTATTCCAAAATCAGATATACAGAGAGAAGAAGAGACAGACAGGAAGATTTTCTGTCTGATTCACTCCCCAGGTGACCGCAATGGCCGGTGCTGCATTGATCCAAAGCCAGGAGCCAGGAATTTCCTCCAGGTCTCCCATGCGGGTGCAGGGTCCCAAGACTTTGGGCCGTCCTCGACTGCCTTCCCAGGCCACAAGGAGGGAGCTGCATGGGAAGCAGGGCCACCAGGATTAAAACCGGCGCCCAAGTAAGATCCTGGCATGTTCAAGGTGAGGACTTTAGTCGTTAGACCACCACGCCAAGCCCACAAACTTTTTTGTTTTTGAAAAATTCATAAGCTTAAGATTGATTCCATTTGAGATAATTTGCAATTCAGGAAAGGAAAAAAAATGTTTGGCAGGCCCAGTTATCGTATTTGGAAGCCAAATTCCAACAGATAATGCCGTCAGATAAACAGCTGGAATGCTGTCCGTGAGGACACTGTTACTGAGAGGGGTTGGCCATTACGTCCACAGCCGTGAGAGCAGTGCCAGTGGGCTTTCTCCTGGCTGCAAAGCCTCGCAGGGGAACTCTAAGCTGTCTGCTCACTAGGGAGACGGGCAAGATCTGGAAGCTAGATGTAGTTCAACACGCGAGCAAGAAGGCCTGTGGGCATTTCAGTGCATCTTGCTTAAGCTTGAGTTGACGTGTGCAGCTCTGAGGTCCAAAGGTTTGTAATCCTGTCGCTTGAGTCTTGTGAGATGAAAGTATACAGGATGTCTCTTGGTCCACCGGTAGCCCCCAGGACCAAAAGTCCTTAGGCTGCTTGCCTGGCATAGGTTAACTGCTCTCCAGTCCAGGTGGAGAAGGCTGTCCTTCAGCTACACGGGAATTTCAAAGCACAGATGAAGTGCATTTTATGAAGGGGACACCCTGATAAATATGCCAAAGTATGACATTTTCTAACAATAAATTAAAAATGGGCTTTTAAAAAATTTGTTTTCTTTTATGGAAGCAGATAACTTTTCTTTTTCATCTTAACTTTGGAGCATTGTTTGGAGGTCATTTGGACTACTGTGCAGAATGGAAAGGAAGCTGCCAAGTAGGGCCCCCCTCAGTTCATGCAGACTGCTTCCTGGGCCCTCTGAGATCTGGGACTGAGGCGGCTCTTATTCCACACAGGTGCCAACAAGCCACCAAGTCGTGTATGGAAAAGCTTCCTTCTCCTTCCCTGGCCATTCTCTACTTTCTCCCCATGCAAAGAAAAGGAAAGGAAGAAAAAAAAAAAGAAAAGGCTTGATTTTTTTTTTCTGGGACAAAAAAAAAGATAGACCCTGTCCTGAAATCATTGAACAAAACTTACCTGGAAATTAACCCAGATTGAGAATCCCTTGTCTGTCATACTTGGGACCAGAAGTATTTCAGATTCAGGAGATTTCTTTTTAGATGGGGGAATATTTCTATAGGCTTTACCAGTTGGGCACTCCTCATCCAGAATCCAGCATGATGATCCAAAAATTTTGCATTTGCAAAATATTTCAGGTTAGAGATACCCAACCTGAACTCATTATTTTATATGAAGAAATATCTAAATGGGTGTTTACACAGTATTTATTAGATACTGTTTTGCCTGTAAACTCACCTGCATAGGCAATCAGTGTGACCTTGAATGTCCTCTGCCTTTCTCGGAGCCCTGTTTTAGCACTTTCTTAGGCTGGGGAGCTTCTGATAGTGCCTGTGTCCATCATCTACGCTCACAATCACAGATCTCACTGAAACACTTTGCATGGCAAGGGAGGCTTGTTTATTTCTCATTTTTTTTCTTTTTTACATTTAGGGCTAACACTGTTACTTATTTGTTTTTGACTTCTCCCAAACAGAATGGTAACACAGCTTTCTTCAGCTTATTAACTGCACTTAGCTGATAAACCAAAATTTATTCTTTTTTTAAAAAAAAGCCTTATGATATCTGGACAAGATGCCATCTCTCCCAGAAGCAGTTTTCACTATGAATAGTTTAAGAGACAAAAGTATAAGGAAAGGGTCGTGACGGATTTTTTAAAATTTCGTGAGAAACTCTAGGTCCTCTTGTTTAATGTATATGCATGTGGGTATATTTGTTTGTTTTCAAAACCACAGGAAAATATGCCCATGTTTTTTAAATGCAAGTTATTTTGTAAGCTGCTATGCAAGTCCTGTTAAACAACCCTGCCTGTTTAAAGAGTTAAGCGTCCTTGAAACTTTCAGGGAAGACCTGTAGACTTAAGCACTTTGCTCTTTTGTATTCTTCTCTTGGACACTTGCTTTGGATTATGTTCATATTATCTTCACTAGTTATAAGCTATTGATTGCACATAGTATTTCAATGCAAATACCTAGCATTTCCACATGGCCACTGTCCGCAACTTGCGCCATGAATAAAACAGCTGGGTAGAAAGCCAAAGGTCTTCTTTCTTCAATCCTGATGAAGAATCCAAACGCCAGCTCTTCCTGGCCTCGAAGCAGATTGCTGCGGTCAGCGCTGAATGTCTGTATAATGAAAAGAGACTTATTTACATTTTAAATTTTGTTTAAACTTTCAAGTTACATTAGATGCTGATGGTCATAGTCACTCTTTTTATATATGTTTATTAGGTCCGACGACATGTGCCAGGTAGTGTTAGGTGCTCCACCTGGAGCCTGGAAATCTCTCTCTCTCTGATCTCAGCTGATGTGGTGTTGCTTTTTCTTGCCGAAGATAGAAGCAGAGGAATCTCTGCACCCTTGTTCTGATTGCTTGGTGAGAGTCGGCTTTTCTTCTTCTTTTTTGACTTTTTCTGCATGCTGTCTTTCTTCGTAAGCTCTGTTGCCCTGTGTTGGGTACACTGACCTCCATAAACGTGACGACAGACACCTTCAAGATCATTATGCTAGGTGACAGGATCATGTATTTTTGAGCAATATAGTTATTCTCTATGCTGTAATGACATTAAGTGGAATTTATCTTACACTACTAGTAGACTGCTTAAGTGGCTAGTTTATACCAGAAACATCTGGCAGATTAATGATACCAACTCATTTTATTGTTAAAGGACAGAATTTCAAGTTAGAGCACACAGCACGCCTGGTTTCTGGTTTGCTTTTGGCATTAGCTAACCTGACACATTGGAGAATGATTGTGTAACACAAAAGAATATTTTAACAAGATTTCTTCTGTTTCAAAACATAACTTTGAGCTTGATCTCTTACCATTTCTGTTATTCCTCTCCACTTGGGTGACTGAACCAAAGCATAGTCTAATTGTGTAAGCGAATCCACATGTAAAGTAATGCATTGTGCTGCCTTTTACAAAGAATAACTCTTGGATGCATATCTGATTGTATTCAACAGAAGTCTACCATATGAATTGTAATCCTTTAGTTGTCCTTTAAA